TCTACTTAGAATCTACTTAAAAAAAAAAAATGAGATATCACTTTACCTGTCTTAGAATGGCCAAAACTCAAAAAGACAAGAAACAACAAGTTTTGGCAAGGATTTAAAGGAAAAGAAACTGTTGGTGAGAATGTAGATTGATAGACTCAATGTAGATAACAGTGTGGAGGACCCTCAAAAAATTAAAAGCAGAAATATGATACGACCCAATAATTCCACTATTGGGTATTTACCGAAAGAAGACGAAAACACTAATTTGAAAAGATAGATGTGCCCCTATGTTTACTGAAGCATTATTTACAATAGCCAAGATATGGAAGCAATCTAAGTGTCCTTCAGTAGACAAATGGATAAGGAACATGTGGCCATATGTATGATGGAATATGATGCAACCATAAAAAAGGATGAGATTGTGCCATTCGAGACAACATGGATGGACCTAGAGGCTATTATGCTAAGTGAAATAAGTGAGACAGAGAAAGACAAAAACCATATTATTTCACTCATAAGTGGAACCTAAAAAAAAAAAATGAATAGACAGAAAGCAACATCAGACCTATAAATACAGAGAACTGATGGTTGCCAGAGAGGAGGAGGTTTGGGGTTGGGCAAAATGGGTAAAGGAGAGTAGGAGATACAGACTTCTAGTTATGGAATGAGTAAGTCATGGGAATAAAAGGCACAACGTACGGAATATAGTCAACAGTACCGTGACGGCAACATATCAGGAAATACGGTAGCTTCACTTGAATTGAACACAGCATATTGTATAAACTTGTCAAATCACTATGGTGTACACCTGAAACTAATGTAATATTGTGGGTCTACTAAAAAAAAAAAAACTGCACATAAGCAGACCTATGCAGTTCAAAGTGTCTTGTTCAAGGATAAGTTGATACAGAAGACCTGTATGCTAACAATTACAAAATGCTGATGAAAGAAATCAAAGATCTAAAGAAATGGGCATACGTGTCCATACCCTGTCCAGGGACTGGAAAACTCAACAGAGTGAAGATGTAAATTCCTCCAAATACACACACAGGTTTAATGGAATCCCCATCAAAATCCCAGCAAGAGTTTTTTGTAGCTACAGGTTATTTTTAAATGTATAGAGAAAGTTATGGGCCCTAGAATAATTCAAATAATCTTGCCTCAAAATACTGAATCTCCACTGTGAGTCACTGCAGTTTCGTATTTCTTTTTTTTTTTTTTTTTTTACGTTTATTTGTTTTTGAGACAGAGAGAGACAGAGCATGAACAGGGGAGGGGCAGAGAGAGAGGGAGACGCAGAATCTGAAGCAGGCTCCAGGCTCTGAGTTGTCAGCACAGAGCCCGACGCGGGGCTCGAACTCACGGACCGCGAGATCGTGACCTGAGCCGAAGTCGGCCGCCCAACCGACTGAGCCACCCAGGCGCCCCTGCAGTTTCCTGTTTCAACAGTATGTTGGCAGAACCCGGCACTCGTCCCCCACCCCAGCTCTCCGCTCAGAGCCAGCCCTCTGCCATCTCCTCACGGTGCCCGTGAACCTCTATGCCACTCTACGCCTCCCCCGTCTACCTGCCACGCCTTACTACTTTGACCCGCAAAGGCGTGGCCTTGAAGAACTCTGCCAAACGTTTTCTTCACCAGTCGCACGAGGAGACAGAACATGCCGAGAAACTGATGAAGCTGCAAAACCAACCAGGTGCCCGAATCTTCCTTCAGGGTATTAAGGAGCCAGACCCTGATATGACTGCCAATAGAGTGTGCATTACACTTGGAGAAGAGCGTGAATCACTCACCCCTGAAACTGCATGAACTAGCCACTCATAAAAACGACCCTGTCCGAGGGACTTCACGGAGACGCATTACGTGAACGAGCAGGTGAAATTCACCAAAGAAGTCGGCGACCACATAATCAACCTGGGCGAGACGAGGGGCTCTGGAATCTGGCAGGGCCAAGTGTCTATGACGAGCACACCTTGGGAAACAGTGATAAGGAGAGCTACGCCTTAGGCTGTCTTCCCATTGCCTCAAGGGTGACCTCCCGGGTCAGCGAGGCAGTGCGTGCGTGTTGGGGTTACGTTTACCTTTTCTCCAAGTTGTACCAAAACATCTACTTCTTTCATTTGTACCACTCCTTGAAATAAAGTAATTTGGTAACCGCCCCCCCCCCCGCAACAAAATAATCTTGCCACACAATCCAAACGTGGGAGAAATCACTCTCCCTGATATAAAAGCTTACTAGACAGCTTTAGTAATGAAGACAGGTGGCGCTGGCAGAGGAAGGCACACATACGCCAATCAAACGGAACAGGAAACCTAGAAATCAACCCAAAACAAGATATTCACCTGATTTGTGGGGGGAAAAAAAACGCACAAGCAATTCAACAAGCAAGGATTCTCTTTTTAAGAAATGGTGCTAGAGGAATCAGACACCCACAGGCAAATCAAAAAAAAAAAAAAAAAAAAATCAACCTAAACCTCATACATTAGAAACATTAACTCAAAATGGAACACCAGAACATTAACTCAAAATGGAACACCAGAATAAATCTAAAGCGTAAAACTACACAATATTTTTAATGGGAAAAAAAACTTCAAGATTCATGTTAGTGGAAGAGTTCTAAATGCGACACTAAAGGTATGATCGTTAAAAAATGTTAAATTGAGCTACATCAAAATTTAAAACTTTGGCTGTGCGACTCAGTTACGAGGATGGAAAGATAAGCAACAGTCTTAGACACAGTATTTGCAAACCATGTATCTGAGAAAGGACTCACACCTACATTTTTTAAAAAAACTCTAAAATTGAACAAGAAATCCAACAATGAACATACATTTCACTGAAGAGGATATACAGATAGTAAGTTATAAGGTGTTCAACATCACGAACCATTAGGATGCAATGGTTTTGCATTTGCAATGGTTTTGCAATACACATGCAAATTAAAACACAGTGAGCTATCACAACACACCTATGAAAGTGTCTAAAGTAAAAACAAAACAAAACAAAAAACAGTGACAATACCAAATGCTGGCAAGGATGCCCAGAAACTGGATCATTCACCCATTGTTGGTGGGAATGTAGACGTGGCAATCTGTTTTGGAAAACAGTACAGCAGTTTATTTAACATTTATTTATTTTTGAGAGACAGAGAGAGACAGAGCATGAGCAGGGGAGGGGCTGAGAGGGAGGGAGACACAGAATCCGAAGCAGGCTTCAGGATCCCAGCTGTCGGTACAGAGCCCGACACAGGGCTCGAACTCAACGAATCGCGAGATCATGACCTAGGCCGAAGTCAGCCGCTTAACTGACTGGGCCACCCAGGCGCCCCAGGGTGGCAGTGTATTTAAAAGCTTAACATTCAACTTTAGCTTAAACATACCATATGACCCAGAAACTGCATTGCTGGGCATTTATCCCAGGGAAATTAAAAAGTTACATCCACACAGAAACCTGTACATTTAAGTTTATACCACATTATTACGATAGCAAAACCTGGAAACCATCGAAATGTTCCTCAGTAGGTGAATAAACAATTTGTGGTACATCCACATCATGGAATACTTCGCAGCAACAAAAAGGAACCGACTATTGAAACATGTAGCAACCTAGATGGATCTCAAACGCACTGTGCTCAATGAAAACCACCAGTGTCAAAAGCTCACATACTCTGTGCCTATTTATACAACATTCTCATCACAGAGACTGAACACTGATTAGTAGTGCCAGGGGTTAGGAATAATTGGGAGGAAGGAGGTGGGTGTGATTATAAAATAGTAGCACAAGAGAGATCTTTGTGGTGATAGAACTGTTCTGCACCCGGACCGCAGTGGTGGTTACATAAATCTACACGTGATAAAATTACGTAGAATTACACACACACATTATGCCAACATCCATTACCTGGTTTTGATGTTATACTACATTTATGTGAGATATAAACATTGGGAGTAACTGGGTGAAAGGTATACGAGACCTCGCTGAACTGTTGTTACAATTTCCTGTGACCCTAAGGGTACCTGGGTGGCTCAGTCAGTTGAGCGTCTGACTTCGGCTCAGGTCGTGATCTCACAGCTGGTGGGTTCGAGCCCCGCGTCAGGCTCTGCGCTGACAGCTCGGAGCCTGGAGCCTGCTTCGGATTCTGTGTCTCCCTCTCTCTCTGCCCCTGACCCACTCGCATTCTGTCTCTGTCTCTCTCAAAAATAAATAAACTTCAAAAAACATTTTTTTTAATGAAGGTAAAATGGAGACATTTTCAAACAAAAGCGGGGAAAATTCATCATAAGAAGCCCTACACTGTCAAAATTGTTGGACTATTCAAAGTGATGAAAAATTATAACTTGGATCTAAACAAAGAAATGAATTTCATAATGGTAAATATGTGGCTAAATAGAAACTACTTCTTCTCATTTTTAAATTTCTTTGAAAGGCTGACTGCTTAAAGCAGAATCATATCACGTAGAGTTTATAACATGTACAAATAAAATGTATCACAACAACAGCACAAAGAATGATAGGTAAATGTTGGTATACGTCGATTTTTTGTATTGTATGTGAAGTGGTAGGACATATTAACACAACCTAAAACTATAATATACTACTACTCGTCCATCGTATCATAGAAATATGTAAGTATATACGCACACATACACACACATACATACGTGTGTTCTGAGTAGGGTCCTTACGTTTCACCTTGGGTACATGGCACAAGAAAGTTGAGTCGTCGTGAGAAGGAACATACTAAGAATCTACCAAGCGGCCCAACGTATGTGAGCAGTGAGTTTTAAGGTAGGTACCCAAATGACTTCGTTGTCTCTCTTTACTTTTAAACCATATGCCATTAGTGCTCCCTGACGAGGATAAACATGGATCCCACTGATGAAGTTTGCTGCCACGGCCACTCCAGCCATTGTACCCGCTGCACCACCACCCCCCCCACCCCATTCTAATGATGTGTCATTTCCTGCTTCAGTCTCCCATCAGCCACTGCGGTAGAAGTCCACAGAATCAGAGGTGAAGTTTAAAGATTGACACTGCCTATACTCTTCACTTAACCCAAGAAGCCACTGGAAATCGCCCAAAGACCCACTGGGGGAGATGGACACTGTTTCCCAGAAGTAAATACAGCTCAGCTTGTACTTTGGAACAATTGGTCAACCTTGCTACTTGCACAATCTGTCGGCAAAGGTTATGCGGTGCCTGAACATGATCATGGCAGAACCACCGGGCCTCATCACCATCTGCCTTTTAGGATATCTACTCAGTGCTGACTGTACAGGTTGGTTTCCTTTTTCAAGATACACTGTATGCTTGTCTTTTAGATATAGAAATGTCTGGTGCTATATTTTCCACTAAACAGTGATTACAGGATTTGACAGCAACGTTTACGATCCCAGTCATCAGCATGTGAGTTGGTAAGTACCAGTTCTCTAGTATCGGTGTCTTCTTAATGGCGAAAACTAGATTTACAATGCCTATGGTACTGTTTTCTTTTTTAACGGACACTGTTAGCCTTATGATTTGGCCAGGTAAATTTGCTTTGAAAACAGTCATCTCCTGCGTTAAAGAAAAATAAAAGTGGGAAAACGTTTTAACCAGGAAACAGCAGAATATGAAACACATTAACTCTGTCATGTGGTTTTTTTTTTTTTTTTTTTTTACTCACCACTTTGAGATCAAAACGGGACACATGAAAGCCACAATGGTTTTATTTGCAGAAAGAGCTTGATTTTTAAGATATCTGGTACAGTTCAAAATGTTAGAACTATAAAATGCGGCAGGCTTGTGGCTTTAAATATCCATAAACTCATACACTTCCAATTTTAAGTGTTACTTAAAACGAAGTCTTCGTTACTAAGTTGTTATTTATCCCTAAACTTTTTCATGGATTAGGAGCAATTCTTTTGTCTCTGCTTGTAAACATCTCGGAGTTAATACAGGGGGAAACCCAATACTCACTTGAGCAAAACGAGTCCAAGACTGACATAGGAGTGGGAACAGAGTGAATGCGATGCATATCGCTTGGTTTTTTCACAACTTCAGTGACTTTTTAAATTTTTTTTAATGTCTATTTACTTTTGAGAGAGAGACAGACAGATAGAGATTGCATGCAAGCAGGGGAGGGACAGAGAGAGAGGGAGCCCAGAATCGGAAGCAGGCTCCAGGCTCTGAGCTGTCAGCACAGAGCCCGACGTGGGACCCGAACTCATGGACCGTGAGATCATGACCTGAGCTGAAGTCACCCAGATTGAGCCACCCAGGCGCCCCTCAACTTCAATGACTTTATGCACTTCCCAAAGGCAGGCACACAGGGAAGGAATTACCCCATCTAGGCAAACGGCGTGTTCTCACAGGAAGCATTTATCGCCCTTACTTGTCAACCCACTATAATCAAATCTAGCAGCTGACAGTGCCGGGATCAGGGTGCCAACCCCAAGGGTCCCCGGAAAGCAGACTGGCCCCGTGCTTCCCACTCCAGACATGATGGCACACTGAAATGCAGAAATGATGGTACGAGAAGGCAAAGGTTAAATCAAACTGGCAAAGCGGGTACAGTGAAGAAATTTAGCCGGAAAATTCACCAAGTGGGACATAAGGCTAAGTCTTTACACGTAGCTCATCAGTGTGAGATCCAGGACCACAAAAGGTCCAAGCCCTTCCTTCAAGATAAGTGGTGAGATAAAGGAGGTTTCTGGAAGGCTACTGCTCCCTTGAAGACCTCAGACGTTGGGGGAGAAAAAAGGATAGGTATGGAGCGGGGACGGGGAGTAGGATTTCAGAGCTGAAGAGAGGCAAAATATATGACCGTCAAACAATTGTGTAGAAAGGCAGTGTGATTCTGGAGTCACTGCAGTCAGAGATAACAGGCCCTGGAGGAGAGAGCCGAGGGAATTTCCCAAAGGATGGACAGTTCTAATGCAGCACTCTCTTCTGCTGTTAAGCGGTCACTGGCTTCTAAGAGCTGTTTCTATGAATGACTTACGGAGATGTTACATTTTCATGACTGCTGCCATTAGGCATTATTTGCATCAGTTTAGAATTTTGAAATCAAACTCGTTCTGCAGAACTAATTTGATTTTGTAACGTATACGGACTGAAGGGGTCTTTCATTCAGAACGAATGCATGAAATGAATGAATGAAAGAAAGACAGCCTCGGTCCATATGCTTTGCAGAACTTCACAAGACTGAGTGACCACGGTGCCAGGTACTGGGGTGAGGTATTAGGGGCGCAGGGATCATCTGGACTCCCTCTTTGACCTAAAGTATCGTGAGGTCAGGTGAGAGATTTCAATGTAACGTGACAACATGTGTACCAGGAGCACAAAGGGATACATTAACTGGGGAAACACTCGGCACAGAGACAGTATTTGGGGCTGGATCTTAAAAGAGGAGCAGGTTCACTGTCCTTTAATGTCTGATCTAGGGCATCCTACGCAAAGAGACTCACTCCCGTGCAAAGATCCAGATCCACAAAGAATGTGAGGTCTTTCAGGAACTCAGGGTGTTGTGAATATTAAATATGACAAGCGAGGTAGGATAGCTAGACAGGGTCAGGTCACCAGATAACAAAGGCCTGAAACTAAGGAGTTTGGACAACAGAGCCCAACTGTCGGGTCAACGGAAGTGGAAACGTGAATGGCGCTGATGATGGCTGATCTAGAATGCTCGGTCTGGCAACATTTTTATCATTTTTTTCTTATTGCATTTTTCATTTTCATTCCTGTGTAGTTAACATAGAGTGTTACATTAGTTTCAGGTGTACAATATAGTGATTCAGCAATTCTCTACATTACTTGGTGCTCACCGCGACAAGTGCACTCTTTAGGCGCCATCACCTATCATGAGTCTGGCAACATTCTAGTGAACTGTTGGAGGAAGGGGTGGCGAGACATGGAGTGACCGTCTTGAGGCCACTGCAATCATCCTGGGAAGGCATGAGGGGCCGGAGCCTGGACATTAGTTGTGCAGAGAAGAAGGAAAGGAAATCAGGTGACATCCAGGACGTAGAAAGGACAGGGCTTTTACCCCTCTGGCTGTGGAAGGGGTACAGGTTCAGACAAGTGTGGAGTACACATCTGGGGCGTCTGATGTGATTCCAGGACACAGAGTGGTACCTCCGAGCGTGGACTGGGCAGTCTGACTGCCAAAGTCTAAACCCTGGTTCTGACACTTCAGTGTGTCACCCAGGGCCAATTACTTAAACCTCTGTGAACCTCCATTTTCCTCCTTTACAAAAATGAGATGTCGGGATCAATCTCATGGGGCTGCTGTGAGGATGGAATGAAATGATGGCTGCAAAGCACAGAGCATCACGTCCAGCACTGCAGAAGCATTAGATAATCATCAGCTCTGATTCGTCGCATGACAATGTACAGTTAGGGAGCTGGGAAGATGATCTGGAATTCAGAAGATATATCTGACTAGAGATGGCTATTTGGAGCCCGTCGTTGTCGGGGCGCCTGGGTGGCTCACGGGGTTAAGCGTCCGACTTCAGCTCAGGTCATGATCTTGCGGTCCGTGAGTTCGAGCCCCACATCGGGCTCTGTGCTGACAGCTCAGGGCCTGGAACCTGCTTCGGATTCTCTGTCTCCCCTTCTCTCTGCCTCATGCTCTGTTTCTCAATAATAAATAAACATCAAAAAAAATTAAAATGGAAAAAAACAAAACAAAAAAACGGAGCCCACCGTTGTAGAAACCGCACTTACAACCGTGTGTGAGGATCCAGGGAGGGAGCACGGATAATGTGGTATCGAGCACAGCGCCTGACTGCAGTGAGCGCTCAGAAAATGGTGTTGAGGGGCGCCTGGGTGGCTCAGTCGGTTAAGCATCCGATTCCGGCTCCGGTCGTGACGGCACGGTTTGGGAGTCGGAGCCCGGCATCGGGCTCCGTGCTCACAGCACAGAGCCTGCTTGGGATGCTGTCTCTCCTTCCCTCCCTGCCCCTCCCCTGCTCGCACCTTATCTCACTCTCAAAATAAATAAATAAACTTTAAAAAAAAATGATAGAGATGGATATGTTTTCTATATCTATCTAGAGAGACAGAGACAAAGAGACAGAGAGAGAGAGAGAGAGAGTGAGTGAGTGAGTGAGTGTGGGGAGGGAGGGACGGAAGGAGACAAATAGGTTAGAGACCTCAATCCTCCAGAGTTCAGGACTGCCCCACAGGCAGGCACATCCTGAATCCCAGAGACAGACTTGTCACTGTAATTCCCGTAACACGTGCCAACCGATGGTGTTGTGAGTCTGGAAATAAACAAATTAGTGCGATGGTTTTTCTTTAACATCTAGTGAGAGGCACTGGGGTTGCATGTGCAGCGGGCCCACAATCAGGCTTCTGTTTTTCCCAGAGAAATTTGCTGCAAAGTCATTTGGGCAACCGCATCCTGAAAACACAGCCCGGCCAGGGTGATGGATCACCTTGCACGGATCTGCAATTAGCTATTTTCAAATGATGACAAAGTGTGAAGTTAACTGCTTATTTGAGAACTTTCTTTTTTCATCCAAAGTAAATCCAAATACAATTGAAAATCTGACCGTTCATTACTGGAGCTCTCTTGACTAAAAGCCAAATTGAATTTTAATTCCTAAAGCTCCGTGTGTATACAGTGCTGTGAGGACATCATAGATTTTTGGCTCTAGGCCCCAAAGATAAATTGGCTTTGGGATTCCTTGGATTAAGAACAAAGCCCTTCTTGGGGCGCCTGGGTGGCGCAGTCGGTTTAGCGTCCGACTTCAGCCAGGTCACGATCTCGCGGTCCGAGAGTTCGAGCCCCGCGTCGGGCTCTGGGCTGACGGCTCGGAGCCTGGAGCCTGTTTCCGATTCTGTGTCTCCCTCTCTCTCTGCCCCTCCCCCGTTCATGCTCTGTCTCTCTCTGTCCCAAAAATAAATAAACGTTGAAAAAAAAATTAAAAAAAAAACAAAGCCCTTCTTAAGAGATGTATTTAATTTTCACGATGCTTTCTTTTTCCTTTTAAATTGCAGTTTTTCTTGATCATGAAGATGCCACGAAAGTTCTGAGCCGGCCCAAGAGGTATAATTCAGGCAAACTGGAAGAGTTTGTTCAAGGGAACCTTGAGAGAGAATGTATGGAAGAAAAGTGTAGCTTTGAAGAAGCACGAGAAGTTTTTGAAAACACTGAAAAAACCGTGAGTATTTTCCACGTAACATACGTCAGATGCTAAGAACAGAAAACCTAAAAAGAAAAAGAAGAAAAAAAAGAACCCTCTCTCTGAAATTTTTAAATAGCTACACACATAGATGTATGACAAATGTTACAGAAGGGAAGCAATCAAATCCAAAACATTTTAAGTACTGCCATTAACTTGTCCTCTTTTTCTTTATAGACTGAATTTTGGAAGCAGTATGTTGGTAAGCAATTAATTTTTTCCTCTGGCTGGGACACGAAACATTTGAGAATTACTTTTCTCTGTGTAAACAGACAGTATATTAGACTCCGTCCAGAGCGTCCAACTCTTTTACCCAAGACCCAACGGTGATACATGACAGGTTTATGCCAGCATGGGAGGGATCAGCGGGCAGATAAGCTCACTCCTCCCCAGGGCTTTCAAAACATGGCGGCCGGAAGGAGGAAACTCAGGTTCCTTTGTCTGGGGACTGAATCAGAGTTCGCAGTCTTCAGCAGAGAACGTGAGAATGCTGACGGACTGAGACGTGTATTGTCTAGTACAAGTCCTCCTCCTTGTGATGGCCCCCAAGGCTCCCCGTGATGGTCCCGGCCCTCCCTTTCCACTGGCCCTGGGACCCTCTCCTCCTGCTCACCTCCTCACACACAGTGGGAAGTAGGGGGGAGAGGGGGGTGTTCCCCAGCCATCCTGGCCTCCCTGCGGCTCCCTGCACACCCCGGAAATGCTGCGGGAATGCTTTGGCTTTGGCCTTTGATCCGGCTGTTCCTTTACGGTGCCAGGTTCTCTTCCACCAGGTTCCCCTAGGCGCACTCCCTCCCCTCTTTCAGCTCTTCACCCGAGCGTCACCGTCTCCATGAAGCCCACCTTGATCATCTATTAGTACTTCAGCCGCCTCCCCATAACCCCATCACCTAGCAACCGCATCCTGCTCTATTATTTTTCGTAGCACTTTTTACCATCTGAGGCAACATATAATGTTCTTATTTGTGCCACTTATTATCTATTTTCCCCACCTCGTGAGAATGTAAGCTTCCCGTTGGTGGGGGCGTCCAAGTGTTTTGTTTACTGACGTACTCCCGGTACAGAAGCGCTGAGTAAATATTTGTTGAATGGGTCGACCAAAAAGAGGAAAAGCCAAACTTTCATGACAACTGAGCTTCGCAAACTCACGTAGAATCCAGCAGCAAGATTCTGAGGCAGCGTGAGCCCCACAGGTTGACATATCTGTCTGTACGGATAAAACCTAGAGAGCAAATTCACAGAGTTTCCAACACTTTGAGATCTAATTCTATTTTCCAGTTGCTGTTCTGGGGACACTATTAGACTTATTCATAGGCTGCTAACTCATAATGTCTCCGCTTTTGTTTTTATTTTTTGAAGATGATTTTCTAAGTAGTCTCTACACCCGACATGGGGCTTGAACCCACAACCCTGAGATCAAGAGACACGTGATCTAACCGGCTGAGCCAGCCAGGTGCCCCGTCCACTTTTATTTTTAAATCGTGAGGAAGGACGAGGTGCACTCTCTTACGTTCACTTTGCGTTTCCTTGTTAGTAATGAATGCAACCGTGGCAATTCGCTCCTCAGGTAATTACCCTGCAGTTAGCGCAAAGAAGTCTTTTTATTCTCCGTTTCTATTATATTTACACCTTTAAATCTTGTGATACATTTTTATTTTTTTCAAGATTCTATTCTTAAGTAATCTCTACAACCCAACGTGAGGCTCGAACCCACAACCCGGAGATCAAGAGGCGCATGCTCCACTGACTTGAGCCATCCAAGTGCCCCTTGGGACATGTAGTTTTTTAAGTTTATTTATTTATTTTGAGAGAGACAGAGCAAGCGCTGAAGGGGCAGAGGGGGGGGGAGAAAGAGAGAATCACAGAGCCTGACGTGGGGCTTGGACGCACACGCCATGAGATCTGAGTCGAAACCAAGAGTCAGACACTTCACCGACTGAGCCACCCAGGTGCCCTGTGAGAAATTTTTAAAGCAAATCAATTTCTACTTCCCTTCCCCCCCCCCAAACCCCTGGCTGTACTTAAACCCCCACGACCGCTTCTTCGCTCATCCCACCCCCCAGCAGGGTTGGCCCAAACCTCGCAAGCACCGCACCGCATTTTGAAGCCGGGCCCCTGCCTTCTAGGTCACAGGCCGCACTGTTTACTGTATCTGGGGCCAAGATTATCTCGGAAACATCAGAGGCGCGACTCTGTCCCTACCGCTTCGTCCGCCAAAAACAAGAACAAAAAAGCAAAGAGAAAACCAAAACGCCATGCCGTCTTTCGCTTGCAGCAGGAAACAGCCGATGCTATTTCTCACCGGGCGGGCTTTTACAGACTGCGGGGCGCAGGGCCCTCACTCGCCTGCTTTATTCTCTGCTATCAACTCACCCCGGACAGGGCCCGGTTGGAGCAGAAAGATGTCCGAGCACATTAGCTAGCATGGGTCAAGCACCTTACAGTCTACAGCGTGCCTGTCCTATTTAATCCTCACACCGACTCTGTGAGCAAAGCATTATTCGCCTCATTTTACGGAGGATGCTGAGGCTTAGGGAGGCTAAGAGACTTGCCTAAAGGTCATCCAGCTGGGATGGGGGTGGGCACAGAGCCCAGAAAAGAACCCAAATTCCCTAACGTGCAAGCCTTTCTCTTTCACAATCACCCCTCCCGGCCTTGAAATCTGAATGCAGTTATTCATTAAACCACCACCTAGTAGCCTTAAACGGGAATCTCTCGCTTGGCAAGATCTTGTCCCTTGTTGTCTTTGACCCCTGCCGTCCGTGGCTTTGCCCGAGCCCAGGGTACACGCAGGCAAGCACCCGAAGGAGGACTAAATGCAGGATAAAATGACACTCGGTTTAAAGATATGTCTCAGCAAATGAGTTGCTGCGTCGCTGGCTGCAAGCCCAGACCCTTTCAGTGAAACATCCTAAATAATTCAGACCCGTTGGTCTATAATATAAAGCGCAAACGTAGCTCGTTTTTTAGACCAGTTCGAACATCAATAATAATAAACCAGAGATAACGTATTTTGTTTTCAGAGCATTGGAACAAATTGAACTAGCTGTGCAAAAGCACATTGGATCAAGGGGCAGAGGGGACAAGGTCTAATCTTTACGGCAAGCAGCCTTCCCAGAGAAGGGACTATTTCGGAGAAAGGGAGAGGAACCCCGGGTCGACGGGACCCGGATACACAGTGACTGGGAGCACGACAGATGCGCCGCCGTCCTCCCTAGGGCAGGCACACGGACAGGCTAGGTGGCAGGGAGTTTGGCTCTTGAGTATGATCTAGCTCCTATTGTTTTCTTCCGGGCTGTTTCTCTTAGCTCAAAGCGTGTACCCGTCTCCCCTCTGGTTCTATTCATCCCTTTCTCCCGAAGCTTCCTTAGAAGTGTGGATGGAGCCGGAGCGTTCAGAAACCAGACTGAAAGGCTCCCTTCTCATCCTGACCCTTCCCCTCTTGCCGATTCTTTCCTCCTGTTTTCTTTCCACCGGTGTCTTCAAAGGCTCTCGAGGACTCTCGGAAGGTACAAACTTCAGGAAGGGCGGACAGGACACACAGCCCATCGCTACATAAATAAAGCAGATCTTCAGCTCTTTTCAGACCTTTTCATGTTTAATTCTTTGTATTAAAAGTTGTTTCTCACCTGAAACCGATAGGACGCTCTATGTCGACTGACTGAAATTAAAATAGAAACTTAAAAATTTGGTTTTAGGGGCGCCTGGGTGGCTCAGTCGGTTGAGCGTCCGACTTCGGCTCAGGTCATGATCTCGCGGCTCGTGGGTTCGAGCCCCGCGTCAGGCTCTGTGCTGACAGCTCGGAGCCTGGAGCCTGCTTCGGGTTCTGTGTCTCCCTCTCTCTCTGCCCCTCCCCTAACTTGTGCTCTGTCTCGATCAAAAATAAATAAACGTAATAAAAAAAATTATTTTTAATTTGTTTTTAATTTGTTAAAATTTGTTTAATTTGTTTAAAATTTTTTTAAATGTTTTTAATT